CATTTCAATACTCTGCTCAAAACTCTGCAGTATTTTCCCTTCTGGGTCAGAGTAAAAGCCCCTTCCATAATCGTCAAGACCCTACATGATCTGGCCACAGCCGTATCCCTAGATCTCATACTAATTGCACCTTCTCCTTCATCCACCCTGCCAGAGCTCCTCTGACCTCCTCGCTGGCCTCCAAGTAGGCCAAGCATACTCAAGATTTGGGGTATTTGCACTGGTTGTCCCCTCTCCCCCCCGACATGCACTTGGCCAATGTCCTTACCGTCTTCATTCCTTTGCTCAAATGTCACCTCACCAAGGATCCAATGCGGGCCACTATTTTAAATTACAGCCCTTCCTTCATGACTCTTAATTCCCCTTACTCTTCTCTATTTTTCCCTTTTTTTCTCCAATACTTACCACTTTCTAACATAACAGATAATTTACTGATTTATATTCACTGCACCCCCAGCTCTTGTAGAGTACAGGCCCCACAAGGCCAGGGATGTTTGGATTTGATTCCCTGGTGTATCCTGAGACCCTCGAGACCTGGGTGACACACAGGAGGCTTTCAAAAAATGTTGGGCGAGTGGATTCTGTGTGGCATCCCTCAAATCCCAGAGATTCTGGTTTCTACATCACTTTAATTCTTTGTCCATACTTCTCTTATGGTCCTTTCCGTCCTGACTCGTTATTCTTTATGTATCTGTCTTTCCCATTACAGAACCATGATCTACTTGGACATTTTCTATATGTTTATTTGCCTGTCATATAGCAAAAGGTCAGACCATGCCAACTTAATGAACCTACAAAGGTACCGTATATGCATAGTTCTCTGTCACCAAATCACTAACTCTGCAAGTCAGTTATTATTTTAAAAGTCTCTCCTCAACCCTGCTCTAGATACGTCTATACACACACTCTACTAATTGAGATAATTTAAAACTATTTTTCACATATTTGCTTAATTAGCTTGCAGTGACCTCTGCAAAAACACTGGCCTCTGATGATTATAAGAGGTAGTTTTCTGGCATGGACACCAAAGCATCAAAGAGTCAGGGGAGCTAAGGAAAGCACAACACAACTGGTTTTAATTATTCGTGACAGGCGGCCAAAGACATCTGACACGGGGCTGCTCCCCAGTACATCACTCAGAGCAAGCCAGTTTCAGGAAATGGTAGAGAGTAAAAAAAAAGCAGGATCAGGCCAAAATGTGTCCGTAACACAAAGCAGATCATCTTTCACATGGATGACCTTATTCATTTTGTTTTCTATTTTTATGACAGTCCCAAACCTATAAAACTGCTGACCCCAAAGACTCGGCGTGCTCCTGGGATGGCGCTTCCGAGGGCAGCTCAGGCTCTCAGAAAAGGAGGTGGGTGAAGACTGCACCCGTCCATGAATCACTACACAAACCGAGGGGCCCTCCAAAGTTCATCTAGAGCTGCAGGCGCATTTGCACTGAATTCAGCTGGGACGTACAGGTGAGCAATTTCGGCTCGTGTTCAATATTCACAGAAGGATTAACTTCATCTACAGCCTAGTTCGTCTCTTTGGATTTGTTGCCTAGCGGGGAATGGGAGAGGATTAAGAGTTGCTTTGCTATGACCTACCCACAATTTTAAACATCTCTCTTATGAAATCCACCCTCTCACCTGATGAAACTATGGGGTTTGGGTTGGCCATGCCCTTAGGTTGGCTCCTATTAGAAAAAGGGATTTCTTAATTAGGCAGCATTTCACCTCAGAACCTAATTTCCTTGCTACAATCTCTTTCCAGATGCTTGATCCCTGAACTCCCTGACTTCTTGTTTCTGTGCATTTCCTGGTTCTTGTGAGCTGGAATTGTTTGATCACCGTTTTGACCAGTCTTGCACATCCCAGTGCCTGTGCAACTTCAGAAACCCTTGTTTTTTACCTGCTGCTTTGCTCTGATTCATGTTGAATGCCAGAAACTTAGGCTGTTCCTGAGTCTTTCTACATAACATCACCTTTCAGACTTCCAACAAAAGCTTGAGTTTCTGCTATACTAGGGCCTACGCCTATGACTGAGACTCCAACCATGAATGTTCCATTAAAGAGCTCAGACTTAAAGAGGGGAAATGTCAAGTAGCCTTGCTTACGATGACATGACGAGGGCTGTAATAGGTGAAGCACGGGGTATGAAGGTCGCACAGAGTGAGGGCACCTAACCCGGCACCGAGGGGTTGTAGGAAGCTTTTCTAGAGTCAGCAACATCTAAGCAGTCTGAATCAGACAAAAAAGAGTGAGAGATGTTCTATGCTAGGAAAGTAATATCTGTAACTGCCACGAGCTATAAATCATATCTCCTTTAGGGAACTGACGTAGTTAAGTACAGCTGCAGGGGATGTGGAAAATCTGAAGCTGCAGAAGGAAAGCAGGGCTAGATCACAAAAGGTTTTATATGTCCTTCCAAGGAGATGGGAATTCACTCCATCAGTGATGGGGAGTCACTGAAAGTGTATACATGACATAGATTATATTGCAGAAAGACTGACAACAGTGTGGAGAACAGATTTCACTATCTAGCTCTTCCCCAGAAAGAGGCCCATACTCTTGCCTTCCCTACCTTATCTTCCTGGGGTTCTGACTAGCCCAGTTCCACAACTCTTTTCCCATCAGTATTCTCAAACAAAGCTAATTATCAGAATCAGTTGGAGACCATATTAAAAAATACAGATTATATCTGAGCCCACTTCACAGAACTAGATTCTCATGGGGACAGGACCAGTCAATCTCTATCTTATAGAAGCTTCCCACATGATTCTGAGGCAGGTGGACTATGGACAGAACTGGGGGACTAACATAGACTGTCACTTGCACCACAACACACAGGCATCGATGAACACACAGCAGTGTTTGGCTTGTTGAATTAGACTGAGGATGCCTGGAGTAGGTTCACTCAAAATGTCTTCCTTTGTGGTGCCTGGGTGGCTCAGTGGATTAAGCCTCTGCCTTCGGCTCAGGTCCTGATCTCAGGGTCCTGGGATCAAGCCCCATATCGGGCTCTCTGCTCAGCAGGGAGCCTGCTTCTCCCTCTCTGCCTGCCTCTCTGCCTACTTGTGATTTCTCTCTCTGTCAAATAAATAAAATAAAATCTTAAAAAAAAAGTCTTCCTTTTACACAATCTACACCTCCACTCCCATGACTAGGAAAATCAGTCCCTTACTTAAATCCTCCAGAATTTTCTCCTGTTGTTTGTGTAACACATCCAAACCTTAGCATGACCCACGAAACAGCATGATCTGGCTCCAATAACCTTTCCTTTTCAGCCACTCTTCCGCTTACCTTGTACTTACTCTCAGCAGAATAAAGAGGGGATGTTAATGCAATGTGCCCGCCCAACTTTAGCCTTCTCAATTAAGGATGGATATGGAGTTGGGAAATTGTATAAAGCAGTAAATATCTGAAACTGGTCTGAGAAGAATTGTAAAGTGACTTGACTTAGGAACACAAAGGGACTGCTGGTCAACCTCCAAAACTCATCTGAGTTAAAGAACCTATTTCTAGGACAACCATGTTATTTCTTCCAGCTCAAGAACCTGGGAGCAGAGAAAACTGACAATTTGTCAACTAGCATTTGAATATTGGCAAAATAGAAAGTCAAGGGATAAGAGAATTAAGGGTGCTAGTATAAAAGAAAATTTCTAGAATAAGTCTTAAAAAATTATTTGGCTGATTTTCTCCAAGGCACGGAGGATTAAATCATGAATGCCCATGTTTGGCCATATTCGTTTGTTTAGCAAAGGCTTGCCATTTGATTTAGTTCTGGTTTGTTCTCTAATGGTTCCAACTCTCATTCTGTTATGTTACCCTAGAGCATGGTGAGTAACACAACATGTAGAAGGTGCCAGAGGCAAAGTAAGTGACTTAATTTTCCAGGACATAAATAATACTACCACGGTAATCCTATAACAAGGTAGTAAATGTTTCATAATGATTGTTTTCCTCCTAAGTTAGAGCTCTGACTTACAAGTATGATTTTTTTATGGTTATAGCGTATCCATGCAGTAGACCTTCTTTACTTAAATTGATATTTTGCATCTCAAACAAGACTCAACATATATCAAGATACAAATACATGTCAGTATACAAATATGTATATTTTCAACATGAAGATATTGGAGTGCCTTAAATCAGTTATATTTAAACACCCCGCTAATAAAAAGTAAATTACAAGTTGGAATGCCTGGGAGGCTCAGTTGGTTAAGCAAGTGCCTTCAGCTCAGGTCATGATCCTGGAGTCCCAGGATTGAGTCTTACATGGGGCTCCATGCTCAGGGGAACCTGACTCTCCCTCTGACCCTCCCCCCCCCCCACTACCATGCTTTTTCTCTCATTCTCTCTCTTTCAAATAAATAAATGAATCTTTAAAGAAACATTAAATTGCATTTTTTGTTTGAATGATTTTAGATTATTTTTTGAGGTGGGGAGGGGCAGAGGGAGAGGGGGAGAAAAGATCCTGCACCTGGCATGGAGCCCCATGCAGGACACACCCTGAGATCATGACCTGAGCCAAAATCAAGAGTTAGATGCTTAAAGAACTGAGCCGCTCAGGCACCCCTAGATTATTTTTAACTAAACCAATGCCTTAAATTAATCCAGTTAGCTTAGTTTTCATGGTTTATCATTTCCCTTCTCTTTCCACTGTACATTCTTAGCAAAGAAAGAAACAGGACTGGCTACAATGAAGCAAGCAGTGTTGGAGGCCAATGGCTAAAATTAGATTATTGAGGACATTTACTTATACATTACAGCTGAAATTTCAACATACAACATTTTCTCCTGAAAGGAGACACTTATCACTGAAATGGAGACCTCTGTTATCAAATTACATCCAGATTACATCATTGGGTGGTAAAATTGAACCAAAATAGAAAGTGAAGCCACATATACTTTCTCTGAGAAGAGAAAGGCTAAAGAAAAATGAAGCAGTGGATTTGTTTTCATAGACTATTTTGACTGGTGCCGTCTTAATTAGGGTGAGATTTTTTGTCTAAGAGAAGTAGCTGTCCTAACGAGGAATGAAATAGACTGTAACTAGCATGAGGGCAGAGAAAGGGGGTCTAGACTTGAACCCACCCATCCCGGGATACTCCATAATGCAAATCTTCACAGACCAAGACAGTTTAGAATTTAACATTGATCTCTTTTCTGTTTTTGTGTTCACTTGTATAGTTTGGGTGTATACAAGCAGTTCTTAAAACAATTTTCCTGATGTTTCACTCTATATATCGTCCAGAAAATCCATTGGGTGTGTGCATGTCCTTATAAAATTAGTGGAAACTTGTACATACTACATCATTTCCAGCCATGCATTGCATCTCTTCTCTCCATCACCTCATGAACTAGGAGGAGAGGACCTCTGCCCCAAAGCACCCTGTGCAGCCCAGCCCTGCATTCCACTGCCAGTCAGGAATGTCCATCACTGTGCAACGTGAACATCCACACCGGGACGCACTGCTCTGGAAAACCGTCCTGCTTCTCCTGGCCCAGCACTACCAGCCCACTCTTCCTAATGAGGCTCCAGAGGGTGTCCATGTCCCGAGTCACACTGCTGTCAGAGAGATCAAAGAGACAGCCCTGCCGAGCCACGTTGTCCTTCAGTATGACGACACCATTTTCTTTCAGGCCAGCTCGGCACCGGGAAAGAAATGCAAGAAGGTCTTTATCAGTCAGGTGCCCTACAGGTGAGGCCAAGTAGATGGGGGAACAGGATGAAATGATGGGTGTGAGGGAGGAGAGTAGGAAGGTAGGAAAGACCACAAGGCTAAGAATAAGGAGACCATTTGTTCATTCATTCATGAGTTACTTAAGAGCCTGAACTGGTCTAGTTGCAGGAGACTTAAGAATTTAGGTAAGAGGACGGGTATCCTCTCTGAGGAGGCTCCGTGTCCCATCTATAAAATAGGAATTCAACCAGCTGGTCTGTCTATCTCACAAGCACAAAATAAACTATTGCCTAGCCCCTGAGTCCATGCCATTGTCCCCAGACAACCCAATTTTGTCATCACTCCTCTGTGTCTCCTAGCACACACACACTCACTTAGACCAAATTCTAATTCATTGCTACCTCATTTCCTGAGAATTTAAATCTAAGAAAGTCTAGTTTTGTCAATAAATGGGGATAAACTTTTTTGACCTCACTTTTTAAAGTTTTTCAAGAATTTGGTTTTCTTCTTAGAGTTAGGTTGGTATAAAGGCATTCCATCCCTGAAGATGGGAACTTTCAGGCTTGTAGCAGAGCATCTTAGGGGAGAGATTGGGAGGACCAGAGCTCTGGGGGTTTCTAAGATGCTAAGTCCAGTTAACTGCTCTAAGCATGACTACAACTCTATCTCCCTTTAGGTCTTTGCTTCCCCTCCACTCATCCTCAGATTAGCCCCAGGTGTCGTCTTCTCTATCTGGGAAGGGGAGAGAGGCCGATGTTGGGCCATGCAGCACTAACCAGAGACCCACTGAATCCAGATGACATCGTATCTGCCCAATGGGGGCATGAATTCCTGCAGGCTGTGACAGTGGTAACTTTCTACCTTGTCCCCATTGACCTGCAGATAGTTCTGGGCTTCGAGGAGGAACGATTCCATCATGTCCACCAGCTCCACACTGTTGAAAACCGGCAACAAGACATGCTTGCTGACCCTTCCTATCCCAGAGCCGCAACCCAAGGCACAGTCTGTCCCAGCTCGCCCGGGGCCCTGCAGAAAGGTACCTTATGGAATACTTCAAATACAAACACTGACCCTGAGTCTAGGACGCTCCAATGACCTCTTTAAACTAACTTTATTTTGGTCAGTTTCACATAATAAAATGCATTCTTTTAAATACACCACTCAATGAATTTGAACAAAGTATACGGGCATGTACCCACTACCACGATTGAGTTCTAGAATACCCAGTTACCTTTTTCAAAAAATACCCAACCTTGCTAGCTTTCACTTTCTTTATTTTATCCAAATATAGATCTTCAAAAGAATTTCAAAGTCAGAAAGTAATATCTTAGGTCTAAAAACTTGGTAATTTTCTCAAGGAAATGAACCCCTGAAAGTCCTTTAAAAGTAGAATTGTATTAACTGCAAATCTGGGTCAAGCCCACAGCTAAATGGACCTGCAGGGTGGCTTATGGCTATATAAAAAAAAAAGGAAGGAAGGGAGGGAGGGAGGGAGGGAGGGAGGGAGGAAAGAAGGAAGGAAAAAGAGAGGAGAGGAGAAGTGAGAGAAGAGAAGAAGAGAAGAGAAAGGAAAGGAGAGAAAAGAAAAGAAAAGAAAAGAAAAGAAAAGAAAAGAAAAGAAAAAAGAAAAGAAAAGAAAAGAGCAAAGCAGTGAGAAAGCCTTTCAGGCCAGAATTTTACTTCAAACCTAGCCCCAATGGCACACAGCCCTATCACATGGATAGAAGGTGTTTGCAGCAAAGTCTCCTTGTCTCTTTTCATGCTAGAAACAGTTTTCTGCCTTTATAAGAGAAATTACCTGATTTACTGGGCACAAATTCCCTCTAAAATTATTTTTATAAAGTATGTCTGTATACTAAATCAACTGGAGGTGAAGGATAGATAGGCGGTGCAGGGGGAAGCCAGCCAATGGAAACTTTCTCCAACTTGCTTCTACAAAGTAACATATACCTATACATACACATACACAGATATATATGTACATACATATATATATACACATATACATGACTGTATATTATTCAGTGTATGCATTATCTTGTCTAGATTTCTTGTCATAAGGGATGACTGCTAAATATGTTTTGTGTTAAAAATTACAGCAATAAGATACTTATGTTGCCAATCAAAATCTTGAGAAAGACTGCTCTTGTTTTCACAGCAACTAAGGATTTTAAAAAAACATTTGTCTAAGGATCAAGAGGTGATGTTTGAGCAGAAGGAAACAGCGGAAATGCTCCTTTCTAGTCTACCCAGGAGGCCTTCTTCACATCAATAAAGTCACAATGAAGAACAAAAAGTGAAGCAGTTGTGGCTTCTTTTCAAATGGAATCATAATAACCATGATTTATCAAGTGCTCATACACAGAAGCTCTTTGCATCTGTAATAACTATAATAATCAAAACAATTCCATAAAATCATGATTATTCCCACGTTTGAAGCTGAGGAAACTTAGATTTCTAATACCACACAGTAATGGCTGAATTAGGGCTTGAACACGGAACTGCTTGAATCCAAACCCAGTTCTGCCTTAGCGTTGTCACCTCAAGTACCAACCCTGATTCCCTCAGTAGTATCTGCCTAATGCTGTGTTGAACAAAATCATAAGGCTTCAATGAGACTCAATGAAGGAAAGAGTTCTGTGATTGTCTAGTAATGTCTGCCTTGTGCATGGGAAGGGGAAGTGGTGGTACATGTTCCATGGGTTTGCCATTCCTACTTACACTATGTCACCTCCCTCATTCGGGTATTATAACGTAAACTAGTTCAGAAAAAATAAAAAAGGCCTAAGCTAAAGATTTGTATTGTTAACACCATAATAAAAACATCTTTTAAGTAAAGCTGTTACATAAACAAGATGAGGAAAGTATAGGGAAATTCATTTAAGTTACTGAAAATGATGTTACTAGAAATTTATATGCTCAATTAGAGATTATAACTACAAATTTTTCCTACCGTTACTTGGCTTTAAGTCTCTATGGATCATGTTGCTCAGGTTATTGTAGCAAGTAGTCTTAGGATTAAACCACAGAATGAAAAAGAGGGCTCAGAGACCTGTGCCAGAGGAGTGGAGATGATAAAAGCTTTCCTCCTTTATCTCAATGAACCACATAAACACAAAGCTGCTCTGGCTAATGGGAGGTAGGGCCTCACCCACTCACCCTCCCTATCATTCTCCCAATAAGACCTTGAAGGATCTTAGCAAAACCCTAGAGTTTTTAAAGCATTCATGTCTAATTTCCCTACTTTTTTAGACAAAGAAACCAAGGTTCAGAGAGGTGAAAGGTTTGAGATAGAATTCCCTTGAAAATTCTCACCCTTGGAGTTGTATTTTTCTCCAATTTAGATGTGTGATATTTGACTATAGTTACTTTTGAAACAATGGTTATTTACAAATACATTAAGTTACCCTTCACCCTAATTCTGTGTACCACAGCTCTTACCACTATTGCTTAGTTCTCATTATCTACTCTACATGTACTGGCACTGTCTCCCCGATCCTGGCACCAAATTTCACTCTCTCTCTTTCACACACAACTCCTCTAGGAAGGAGTATTTAAAAACAGATCTCAGGGACATCTCCTGCCTCTTGGACACTATGGCTGCCCCTATTGAAAGTTCATGTCTTTCCATGAATATGACTAGACCTACATACAATGTATGATTTCAAAACAAGACGTTTTGTTATTTTCTTTTTAATTGAAAAATGATTTTATTATATAATGACCTTGAATAAATATTACATCTAATATTATGCTTATTTTTTATTATGTTGAGTAAGCCACTCTATAGTACATCATTAGTTTTTGATGTAGTGTTCAGTGATCCGTTAGTTGTGTATAACACCCGGTGCTCATCGCAGCACGTTTTGTTATTTTCATCGTCACTTACGATGCTGTCTTCCTATGTATGGATTCATATAAAATAGCAAAATGCTGTTGCGAATTTCATTTTAGTTTTGATTCTGCCTGTATATTTTGCTTTGAAGAACGTCATTTTAAGTTCATCCAGTGGAGTTTAAAACTAAAAGGAAAGTGTTAAATGCCACCATATAAAAACCATGAAATAGAACAAGTGAGACCCAGAGTTTTTAGTCATCTAATCTCTGCAAGAGGTCAAAAGAACCACCAAATACTGGTTACTTTGTATAAACTGCTGCTTTTCCACTAGAAGGATAAAACCGAGGAAAGTTATCGGCCATGCCACTAACATCATCCTGGTATCATCTGTTTGTTTGCTAAAGCAAACATATTTGAAACAAGTTTAAACACCTTTCCCACTGTCCTGGGTCACTAAGTGGTGAAAGGAAGGCAAAACTTTGTATTAAACAGCCTGCCTTTTCCCAGTTGACAGGAGATAAATCATGTCAGATACTCATATTCCCTAGCGCCTTGTATCTTGACCTGGATACTAATTTAGCAGATTATTAAGGTCAAAGCACCAAAATATCATTTCTTTAAAAAGACTGTGTGCAGTTAGTTAGAGGTCACTGCTTCACAACGAGCCTGGTCCATTGAGAAGGACTCCTCGTATTTGTTTGAAAAGAGCAGGCTGTTTTTTTCCAACATAAATATGCAAGCATAAGGCTGTTTCCTTTCCCAGGTCCATGGGCACGTGTATGGGCTCTGTCTGACCTGCAGCCCTGTGGTCAGCTTGGCATTCCACGCGGAGTGACAAGCAGCTGGATTACAAACTAAGCTTCTCAGACGCACTGGGATCAAAGTCGGCCTCGCCACAAGGCAAGCAGGAGGGATTGCTTTCGGCCAGGCTGGAGGAGAACTGAGGTCTGTGGTACACACACACACACACACACACACACACAGAGAGAGAGAGAGAGAGAGAGCACAAGGATTTTTCTGCTTCATGAGACAAATGGAAAAAGTACGTTGTGGTTAAGAGTGAAGAGTTTGCTGTCAGAAGATGTGGTTGGGCTTCAGCCCCGGCTCTGTCTCTCACCAGCTCCATCACCTTGAAAACTTATTTAACATGTCCAAACCTCAGTTTCCACAACTGGAAAAACAAGGATAATGACAGTACTTACCTTCTAGAATTCTTATGGAACGTAATCAAGATGGTACCTCTAAAGTGCTTAGCTGAGCGACTATCTCAGAAAACCACGCCAAGAAATCAGTCAGCAACACTGATTAGAAATACTCCAGTTGCCCTGACCTATCCAGAGCCTCAGCCACCACCTCCAGCCGTACCGTCCCTCATGGCGGCGGCTGACGCTCACACAGGGGCCCCAGTGGGTGCTCCATCCTGATCCAACTCTCTCTGCTCAGGCACGTGGGGCTCCAAGGAGGATGGATGTGAGGTGAACCTCACTCAACACTAGGGATATTCTTAACAGTGTGCTTCTAAGGAGCTTGGCAACCTAACCCAAATACTTATTTATAATGTTTATTTATAATAAATTTATTATAAATTATTATTTGTAATGTTTACTTATAATGCTCCTTTTTTAAATTTAAACTCAATTAATTACCATATAATGTACTATTTGTTTCAGAGGTACAGGCCTGTGATTCATCAGTCTCCTATAACACCCAGTGCTTTTATCAGAATAAAATGGGCTCCAAATTTCCAATAGATGACTTCAAAATGAATCGGGATGAAACCCGTTTGCCAGTTAGGACTTTATGGCTTCAGCAGGACCAATAGCAGCTTTATTGTGTCCGCAGCTCCTAAGTTTATTCTAACAACTGGATGAAATTCCTTAAACTGTAATGAACATATTTCATGAAAGCCTATTATTAGTAGTAGAAATAAATTAGATTTATTGGATGATAATTATGCACAACAAAGCAAGCACTTGATACATATTATCTCATTTAATCTTCACATTATCCTATGAGGAAGGTTCTAGGGTTATGCCCTAGTCACAGGTAAAAAACGGAGACTTAGAGCACTTAAGAAACAATTCCAAGGTAGCTTATACACTAAATAGAAGAACCTCATGAATCTGAAGACCAAGTTTTTGGCCACCACACTATACAGTCTGTCTCTGTGGGGTGGGGGAGTAAGGAAAGAGTTTCACCCAAGACCAGAGCTACAGAGAGATCACATTCTTTCAAGGCAAAGTCTGTACTATGTATTAAATAATATAAAGAGATTCTACTGTTCTTATCATTTTAAAACCAAGCATAAGTATGCATTTCTTTACTATATTGAATTTGTATTACAGGAAATCAATAAATGGCCCCAAGATCCCAAATGGCATTCTCATCAATCATTTTGGTGTCAACTATTTCATCTGTGAGAGTCCAGAAAGAGATGTCTTTTTAATCCCCAAATTATAATATTAGCAATACTGGTTCACCTTCCCCTGAAGCATGAGAGATTAGCTGGTACTAGGATGATGAAATGCCAAGTGGGATGAACCAGTGGTTTGATGCAACCCATCCTTTCTCAACATCTTAAAGCAGGCTTTCAGGCTAAACTCTTGGCTGAGCTATATGGCTTCAATATGATTTAAATGACAACACAGAAGCATGTGAGTGCAATGTTTGCAAAGACTTTGCTTCCTTATCAAGCAGCAGTTGGATAACTCACCCCAACATATTTCCTAAGAAATTCCCAAGAAGCCTGGATATCTGGCTTGGACAGTTCAATGAAATTTCCCATCATACCCTCTTCTGTAGCAGGTACTTCTTGGTAGAAAAGTTCAGCTCTGGCATAGAACTGCATCTCACCATTGATGATTTGACTTGTTAAAGCATACAATTTCACTGCAAATGAAATATTATTAATATTTATATGACAGAACAAGTTCATTCTTAACATACATTGAATTGTCTCTTAGCAGCCTGTGAATTTGTGCCATGAGGAAAGGCATAGTAAGAAGACCTAGGTTTGAGTTCTGGTTCAGAGACTTACTATGTTACCTTAGGAAAACTTCTTAACCTCTCTGATCTTCAGGTATCTCATCATAGTGGCATTTTTGTGACTTACTAACTCTATAGTTTAATGGAACTTTAGTTTATTACTGTATTTTCTAGAAGTTTAACAGCATTTACTATAATAGAATGAAGACGGTCACAAGCTTCATAGTGAGTTTTACCTTTGAACTCCAAATGTTTTGTGAGAACTTAATCATTAACCTTTACTTCTAATCACAAGGTACATTCAGGATAGCTATTTTTTTCACCACTTTTTAAAGCAACTCATACTGAACTGTTTCTTTGTACCAACATTACAGAAGATGTGCTTGAGCTCTTTCTTCTGAAAATAAAATAATAAAAAAGGATAAAAAGATTTGTTGAGCAACTATTCTGTACCAGGTAGTATATTAGGTACATTCGCATATACTGTGCCACTTAATTATTTAAGAAACCATACAAGGTATTATTTTAAGACATTTATTTTTAGAAAAAATATGTACTCCTATTTCTGAAGAGTAAATATGGATGTACGTGTTTTTTGTAGACAAAAGTGCACCTCTTTAGATATAAAATATTCTCATTAGAGGACATTCAGGAGGAAACGATAGAAAGCAGAGGAAAGAAAGGTAATTCTGATTCAAGTCTGTAGGCTGAATACATGCATTTATCTTGCCTTTCCCCATATTCCTCCCCAATTTTTTTTTAAAGATTTTATTTGTTTATTTGACAGAGAGAGAGAGACAAGTAGGCAGAGAGGCAGGCAGAGAGAGAGAGGAGGAAGCAGGCTTCCTGCTGAACAGAGAGCCCGATATGGGGCTCGATCCCAGGACCCTGGGATCATGACCTGAGCCGAAGGCAGAGGCTTTAACCCACTGAGCCACCCAGGCGCCCCCCCAAATTTTTTTAATAAACTCAACACATAACAGTGAAGAAAATGAGAGGAGTGCCACTGATGGATTCATGATTTCAACAAATGTTTGGAAAACAAAAAGAAGATGGAACAAAGCTAAAAAATGTTTCAGTCTTGTATAGATGCAAAAGGAAATAAGAGTTAGTCAAAAATCTCTCTGCAAGCCAACCAGTGAGAGGACAAACACACCCTCCCAAAAGCAACTGGCAGCACAGCTATAACCCTGGGTGAGGGAGTGTCTTCTTTAAAAATTTTTTTTAATTCAAGTAATTGCCCAAGGAGACCTAAAGCAGTTAGTGTTAGGATCCTGGAATACGACTCATTTTAGCATATAGATGAACCCAAGCATCTCATCTGCTCACACAGATCAGAGTCTGATAAGATCTACCTATACATGTACAGCTCTTTGTCGTCCTTTCTTTTCAGGGGAGACATATTTAACAGAGGAAACCTTCTCCATTACCTAGAATCATTGAACCTGTCCTTATCCCTAACTATGGATAAAAAATGATTTCTAAACATGTGAGGGTAAAACAGCAGTCTGAAAGAAAAAAGATAGAGATAAGCCATTAGAAATGACCCAAAAGAAAATAGAAATAATTCAGGAAGTAGATGAGACTTTAAATCAAAACTAAACAGAAAAAAATATAACCTTGGTGTGATATGAGAACTGGTGCATCCATAAACCAAAAATAAGATGCCAAGAAAGTGATAATTCAAAGAATAACAAAGAATTCTTAGAAATTAAAGTTTTGATTACCAAAAACTTTGGAACAGAGCATTGAATAAATTTGTCAGAACATAAATAAAAAGACAGACATGAAAAACTGAGGTAAATAGATTAGAGCTATAAAGACTTAATTCAGGAGGCCCAAACATCAAGCCAATTAGAATTCTTGATAACAGAGAAATGGAAGGAGGAAAATTATTAAAGAAATAATAGAGGAAAATTTCCCAGAGCTGAAAGTGATTGTAGGGTCCAAAAAATAGTGAGCAACATGTATTTAATTTACAGAAATCCTTAGGAAATTTCAATACACAAAGAGTAATAATCCTAGAAATAGAAGATCCTAAAGTTGTTTAGAAGGGGAAAGGTGGTTGACCTTCAAGGAGGGTTGCCAGATTTAGCAAATAAAAATATGAGACAAGCAATTAGTTTTGAATTTTATATAAACAATAAAAATTTCTTAGTATGTGTATACTTGAAATATTGTATATTGCACAGGGCATACTTACACTAAAGATTATTCATTGATCATTTAAAATTCAAATATATCTTGAGTTTTATATTTTATCTGGCAACTATATTCAAAGGAGTAGAATCAGGCTTATAACATAGGTCTAATCAGAGCACTGGGAATTATATGCAGCTAATGAATCATTGAACACTCATCAAAAACTAATCATGTACTAAACAGTGGCTAGCTGAACATAGTAAGAAAGAAAAAAGAGCCGAGACCAGAAAATAGGGTCACCTGGCTGGCTCAGTCAGTAGAGCACATGACTCTTGATCTGGGGCTTGTGAACTTGAGCCCCATATTAGGTGTAGAGATTCCTTAAAAATAAAATCTTTAAGAAAAAAATAAATACTAGAAAACAAAGAAGGAATGCCATCAATATTCTGAGAGAAAATTATTTTGAACCTAAAACTTAATACCCAGTCAAACATGGAAGAATATTTACCTACCACAGATTCATTCTTCAGAGTTTCTTGAAGCTATATTCCAGCCCAATCAAGGTGAAAATCAAGACAAGGTATGTGTCAAAAGACCATGAAATTAACCCAGGAATCCAATGAAAAGAAATCCCAAAATGATAGATACTTATCAGATCTGGAAAGAAATCAGTCTTTATTACAACAGAAAATATAGGCTTCAGAAACATAAGTTCATCCAGAAGTAGAATGAATTGGATTCTGGGCAAAAGAGTAAGAAAGAATCAAAGATACATTAGTTATATTCTAAAGAAGACATATTTTTTTATCTCAACCATCACAAATAAAAGACAGGTGAAAACTCCAAACAAAATATATAACAGTACAAAAATGTTATGATATAAAGCAAATCAAAATAAACATAACTTTCAGTAAAAAAAAAAAAGAGTATATGAGAATCTATTTAACCTTAACTGGAATCATTTTTATTCAAGTAGCACCGAGGTTGTGAAATTGGACTAAGGCACTACTTGGTTCTTGATTGAATAACAATTACATAGTCCCAAATTTTGATTTTAAAAGTTGAAAATCCAACAAACACCACTTATAATGTTTCATTATAATATATTCCATCTATGGAGTTACACCAGTATTTTCCAACTCAAAGATGTTGGAGCCAATTTTTGGACCTTTGAATGGTCATGAGTTTGCTGAAAGGGATAGAAGAATCAGTTCCAATGTACACTTTCTAGAGACTAACAATATTATATGCTATAGTTCCATATATATTAACTGTTACAGATTTTTTTAAATACAAATCTTTTAAAAGAATTAAATATGTAGATGCTTTTTGCCATTTTATACATATATTAACAACTGAGAAAATACGTTAAAAGGAGAGTTCTCAGATTCAAAACATTGGGAACTACTACCCTACACCGATCTCTCTTCTCTAGCACTTAGTAAAGTGTTGTGTGAACAGCAGGTGGCTCAATAAATTCTACAGGGACAACAAAAATCAAGCTTAGCCATCCCAATACCATGAGTGCTCCAAATTCTTCTGTGTATCTCAGAAAACCTGTCTAGGAAATCACAGCTCATAGACTCTTCCCCAAGTTGCACGCTGCCTGGGACCACAAGCAAGCTAGAGCCCAGTACTCTCACTGAGCCAGCCAAAGCAGCAAAGCAGCCATACTCATCACCACCTGCTTAAGTCAACTAGTTGGTGAAGTCTATTAAAACCCTTAATCTGGAAATGGGAATGGTCCATTATGCCAGCAACACTTAGACCACAAGTGAATGCCAAGCCCAGCAGGGGTCAGATTCAATAGGTAGGTTTTTATGGTTATGGGCTTCAGTTCTCATTTTCACCTAATTGACAGGAGCATTTCACTAAAACGATATATGAGGTGTCATGGCCAGCCCCAGGTTCCCCTCTCTTGGTAGCTCCCGCAACGGTGCAAGTTGACTCAGATAAGGTAATCAATCATCAGCTTGTGCCTTTTTAGTAAAGGAATACACTAGCAGTTCATTCTTGTAGGATTGCAATGTCTCTGTGAAATTTGGGGTAGTCTAAGACAGAGTTCTTGATATAGTTCTATTCGTTCTTGATATAATATGGTACTTATTTCCTGACCTACATTATGGGCTGAACTCCCAAGATCCTTGCAATGGTTCAATTGTTACAAAAAGGAAAGTAGAATAACATTAATTTGCCCTGAAGAAGAATTCGGATCTTGCAAACTCCCTAAGGAAAATTTTGTTAATAGCTAAGCGCTTATACCTGCTGAGTATCTTTTTGTCTTTTGTTTCCTTCTTCTTCCTTTTTGTTTTTCTAAACGGTTGGTTATAGTTTTTCTTAGACTTTGTTCCAGATGTTAAAACTGTTTGTCAACTAAAAATTGATCTGAGAGAATAAGTAGGTTAAGTTGAGAGATTTAGTTTGAAATTATTTGAGATAGGATAATGGATCATGTTAACCTTTTGTTTATAAACAGGAAAAAAAAAGCCCAATAGGAGATGGTTTCATGAATGGTAAGACCTTCCATAAAAGAGATTTGCAGATGGGAACTTCCCAATTTAGCCATTAAAGAATTAATGGTAAAAATGGAAAGAAGGAAAGAAGGAAGGCAGGCAGGCGGGAAGGAAGGGAGGGAAGGAAGAAGTATCTAGGTATCATGGAATATTATTCAACCACAAAAAAGAAGGAAATCCTGTCATTTATGGCAACATAGATGGACCCTGAGGGCATTATGCTAAGTGATAGAAGTTAAACAGGAAAGA